TATCATTAATAAAGGACGCCTTTTTGCATTCAAATATTTCGCTCCCTGTCTTTCTTTTAAATTTTTTGGCAGTGTGATTTTATTATTTTTCTTTTTCTTTTAAATCTAAAACTAAAATAAAAATAAAAACAATCATGAAGGTTTTGTCCCTAATTAATCCTAGAATATGTCGGAAATGATTATGTTATGGCTCATTATGACTTTGAAAATCTAATCTATCAAGCTGACGAAGAAGCTGAAGAAGATTGACAAATTCTTGAAGACCTATCTAGATTGTTAAGGAAAGAAGAAAAGGTTATTCAGCCACACTAAGAGATTGTTGAAGTGATTAACTTGGGTAACAAAGAGGTCCGAAGAGAAGTCAAGATTGGGGCTGCTTTAGAAGACAGTGTTAAACAAAGATTGATTGAAATGCTCCGTGAGTATGTGGATATCTTTGCTTGGTCTTATGAAGACATGCCTGGGATGGATACAAATATTTATGTGCACAAACTGCCCCTTAGGGAAGAGTGTCCTCCTGTTAAACAAAAGCTTCGAAGAACTCATCCCGATGTCTAAGAAGAGCAAAGAGGAGGTTCAAAAACAGTTTGATGCAGGTTTTTTGAAGGTTGTTGCTTATCCACCGTGGGTGGCGAATATTGTAAGTGTCGAAAAAGCATGGTAAAGTGAGAATGTGTGTGGACTATGGGGACTTGAACAGAGCAAGCCCTGAAGATGATTTTCTGCTCCTGCATATTGATATTTTGGATGAAAGTACTGCTCAAGCTAAGGTGTTTTCATTCATGGATGGTTTTTCTGGCTACAATCAGATCAAGATGACACTAGAAGACATGGAGAAGACTACTTTCATTACACCTTGGGGATAATTTGGCTACAAAGTGATTTCCTTTGGTTTTAAGAATGAAGGGGAAATATATCAGCGTGCCATGGTCACTATGTTTTAGGACATGATACATAAAGAGATTGAAGTCTATGTTGACGACAAGATTGCCAAATCCCAGACAGAAGAGGAACATCTTATTCACTTGTTGAAGCTTTTTGAAAGGTTAAGGAAATTCAGGTTGAGGCTGAACCCTAATGTTGTACCCCAAAAGTTTCCCTCTCTTTTCTCAAATATATTTCTCACAAAGATCTCCAAAAGCTCAAGCTTGCACAAGTATTGACTAGGTTAAGCCATCTCCTCAACACTGATACTTCAAATTAGGGCTTGAGTTTGCACAAGGAAAATTGGACTTCTAATACTTAAAATAAATTTCATGTATCATTAGGGACCCTTAAGATTGCTCATGTCAATTTTCAAGTCTTGGATCACAAAATTGCTCAGTCAATTGATGAGATGACTTAAAATCAGTTGTATTTGGTTAAAAAAAGTCAACTATGGCCAACCTACAGTCAAACTTCAAGATTTTGGACCAATATCAACATTTAAAGTCATATGTTTCAATTGATCAAGTTTGGATCACAATTCCCCAAGAAAATTGTTCAAATCACCAAAAGGGAAAAATAGTCAAAATTAGGGTTTGGAGTGTATTTGACTGATCAAGGGTTTTTGACCTAATACATGATCTAGTGGCTTGAAACATAATGTTTATGATTCAAATAAAACATATTTACCTAATTTCATGGCTCGAGACATTTCTCAAGATCATTTGATTGATAGTTGAAATTCAGTCAACTGATACACCAAAAGTCAAACTTTGACTTTTTGATCAAATTTGAGTTTCAAAGATCACATTTCATCAAGAAATTCAAAAACATGAAACTTGGTCATCAAGAAATCAATAAATTCAAAATTCATTTTGAAAAGTCAAAGTTTTCAAGACTTAGAAGTGTTTTAAGTCTTACCTTTTCATGACTTCATGCCAACTTTGCACCAAGATGCAAGATGATTCAAAGAAAACTTCCAACATGAAAGTTATAGATCTTGATGAGATATACAACTTTGATTTACTTATAAAGTCCTATAAATACTTGGATATTGAGTTATAAATTCACAAAGTCATGCACTTTTTCTTAAACACTTAGTAAAAATTTGACCTAGTTTAGGCAGATTTTTGACCTAACTTCTTGGACTGTTTTCACCAAGATCCAATATGATTTTGTCAAAATAACCAACATTAAAGTTATAGATAATGTTCCAAGATTTTCAAAATGTCCAAGAACTAAATGAGATCATTTTTGAGCTAAGAGAATCGAAGTGATGAAGTTAGGGTTTCAAACTTAAATTACAAGTCAATTTTGTGATGAACACTGGACCAAATCCATAAACATGATGTATAATCTATGCTTTGCAGGCCTCAAACTTGTGTTTCACTCCATAATTAATGGTTTACATAACTGATTGAACCATTATCCAATTGATTCAAATATTATCCAAACCAATTTTCCATTTTGGAAAGAAAGTAACCATGCCATTATTGAAAAGTGACTTTATACACAATGCCAACTCTCCTTGAGCCCGTACATTGTTTCTTCTGATTCCAAAACATTTCAAAGCAAGAAGAAACATATTTATATCCTGTTAACCACCCTACAAGACTTTGTACTTCACATTGAAACTATGCATTTCATGTTTGCTTCAAAATCAAGTCACATGGCCAAAACATATAATTCTTGATTTCTGACTTATCCAAGCATCCAAACTTCTTGATTATAAATAAAGACAATACTTTTGAGATAAGGGACGAATACACAAGCTGGGAAACTCCCTCAAGCCAGAAATTTCCTCAAAACACCATTGTTGTGTAATTTCTGACTTTGTACATCAAACTTCCATTCCACTCGTGCGTTTCTTGGCCAAATCATTTCTAAAGCTTCCTCACTTCATAAGAAACCATCCCAATACCTGTTACACTTATGTAACACCTCCATCATCATCTTTTATTTTTGAAAACAGAGGTATGAACTTGGAATTCTCTAGGACATTTCAAGCACTCTCAGCTCAAAGTAACTATTGGAATAGCTTCCTGGAGGCTCAAGGAAGCTAACCAAACACGAAACCCAGTTTTGAGAAATGAGAAAGTTACAAGATTCAAAAATGGTGAAGAAGGTCTGGCGCGAGGAAGAAGAAGATACAGGCCTAGGATTGGTTTTGTAATATAATATGTTGGTTTCATGTTAATAAACGGATTATAGCCACCCCAGTGGTAGAGAGCGCGCGTTATTGCCAAGGGCCTGGGTTCGAGCCCCGACGCTGCCCTGTTGTTTTGTTTTTCTAACATTTTTGTTCCATCTTTGTCAAATAACGCATTTGGGCCTCCAGTAAGTGGGCCTTGTACCAATTTACTCCCCTAACACCCATGTTTACTAACAACAATGCAACCCATTGTTTTTATTCTTTTTTTCTTTTTGATTACAACAAATCATAATGGGCCTAATCACAAAACAAAATTGTTTTTAATTTTAAAACCACTTTTCCCATTTTTAGACCCCCTGACTTTATTTTTTATATTTTCTTTTATTTTTATTTTTCTTTATTTTTATTACCACCAATATTATTATTATTATTATTATTGTACCCCAATTTTCGACCTAAGATCTCATTTTTATTTTTGCATTTTTAAGATAAGTCAAGGTCACGAAATACGGTCAGTTTCAACCCCTCACCTTCGAGCTTTGACTATGCGAAGATTGTCAAGTGTTTTGAACATTTTTAGCATATGTATCACTAATTTATAATCGCGTACAAAGGTGTATGTTCATGTTTTCTTTTGTGTCATGTGCAGAGACAGGTCTGAATCAAGAGCATCAAGTGTCGCGCCTCAATTAAGGTTTTGAGTCTCCCAAGCCAAAAGTACGGTTGATTATGGATTCTCGAAGACTGATTCATCAAGGCACAACTGTTGCACCCATTTTTCGCCCCTTCACTTTTTTCGACTAGTGCATATTTTGTCGTTAATTTGAAAAATCGATCATTTCGCATACTTTCTTGTTTTTATTCATCATTTTAATTTCTATTTAAAAAAAAGAATTAAAATAGTTTATCATTTGCATTTTTTATCATATTTCCAATGAATTTGTTTTAGTTCAAAAATCTGTCTTATTATTATTTTTTTCTTATTTTAATCTATTTCTATTTCTTTTAGATATTACTAACTATTTTCCCTTTTTCTCATTATTATTATTATTATTAGTATCTTTATTGCATTTTTATTATTTCATCTTTTATTGTTACTAATTATTTTTATTTTTTGTTCTCATTATTGTTATTATCATTGTTGCATTTTATTATTTTATTTTATTTATTGTTACTAATACTTTTCTCTTCTTCTTATATTATTGTTACTATTATGTTATTATTTGTTTGTTTTTGTCAAAAATAGAGAAAGAAAATTGCAGAGTGGGACCACATCAACATCATAAATCATTTTCTAAAAGCTGAAATCCTCACCATCCATTCAAATATTTATCAACAGTCTCAAACACTGCTCAAAAACTTCACGCGGATCGACATCCAACTTCACACAAAAAAAAAACAACAATAGTACTCACACACTTAAAACACTATAAACCAAATAAAGATCATCATCATATATATTTATTCTGCAGCAGTTCCTCGCTGGATTCATTTTTCTCCTCACCGATAAATTCTACAATGTTTGCTTAATTCATCCCAAAACCAAAAAAATGAAGAGAACGTATATTGTTTGGATTGTTGCATCAGTCTTTGCCCTCACTGTGTTTCTCCTCACTCAGCTCACCTCCATCAAACTGCAACCCATTCCGCATCACCATCACCACCCAACACCAAAACAACCACCTCTCCGCCGCCATAAACCGTTCACAAAACCCAACCAATACTCCCTCTGTCTCGCTCATCAGCAGCTACCCCTTTTTTCTCTTTTCCACTACAAACTTCAAACCCTTGAAATGGCCTCTGAAAATGAAACGCTTGGAGGAAGAACCAAAACCAGAAAAACAAAGGTCCAAAGAAACAACCTCAGAGAGGCGTAGGTGTTGAACAGTTAGAGAGATTGAGAGCTCAAGAACAATTGAACAAAATGGCTGAAGCTTCTGGTGTATTCAACATTAACCATCATCATCATCATCATCCTCAACAGCAACAACACCAAGTTACCGCAACACCAATACGAACAATCCACCAGTTCAACCTAACAACCTGCAAAAAAAATTATAATAAATTCACGAAAAGAAGCTACAGCCCAAAATTAGAATAAAGTAGTCGCTGTTGTCGTTGTTTATGGTGTATATTTCTTCCACCCTTTTGGTTGCTTTGCTTACAGGTTGTTGTTAAGAAAAAGAAGCAGACAAAGAAGATGAAAGGGAAAAATCACTGATTCTGACGCGAAATGGTGAAGCCGTAGAACACCGACAACCGCGTCATCCAAAGCCCACCACCGCGATGCTCAGAACCGACGGATTGTGCCACAACCAGCATCGATGCAATCACCCTCTGATTCTACGAAAATTGAGAAGAAAAGAAGCAAGATCTGAATCGGACACCACGGAAGCCAACTCAGACCGCCGCCAGTCACCACTGCGCCTCGCCGCCATCGTCTCCTTCCGATCCGGTAACGTCTTTCCTTGTTTTTTTTCACAGCTTGTTGGTTTGTAAGTGACATTCATGATTGTGAAATTGCAAGAGATTTGGTGTATTGTTTCTTGAAAGTAAGAGATTTTTTAGAGAGATGGTAAAGGGAAGAGAGAAACATGAGGATGAAGATGATGATAATCTGTGAGAGAGAGAGGAATGTTTTATCGTTTTTCTTTTAATTGTTTTTATTGGAAATAACAATATTATTTAATCTGATTTTTTTTCTTCCCAATAACAAATGTGACGGCTGCTTAAGTCCTTACAGTTTTTTTTCATTCTTAGGATATATTCAATTGGACTGGAGTATGGGCCTGACCCGTTTCCTTTCAAAAGCCACAAACCCCACTCTATGGTTTTGTTAAATAAATAAATAAAAAGCTGTTGGACTTTAGTTTCAGTAGCCCATACGAATTTCTTACTATACCCCTTATACTCTGCTTGCACCCCTTTGTTAAAAATTTGTTTTTAGTTTAATTTTAATTTCTTAACTTATTTGTTTTAGTTATTTAGTTTAGTTAGTAAAAATTATTTAGTAATCGCATTGTTTTAGTTAAGTAATTTAACCATGGAATCAATTTAGAATTATTTAATAATCTTAGAATTTTTAGTTAGTTTAGAATTATTTTGATAATCTTTGAATTTTTAGTTAGCTTAGATTTATTTTAGTAACTTTAGAAATTTAAGTTAGTTTAGATTTAATTTAACAACTTTAGAATTTTAATTTTATAACTTAGTGATTTTATAATTAACTTAGTTTATATTTAAATTAGTTTAGATCTAATTTAGTAATTTTAGAATTATTTCTTATAGCCTTAGAATTTGTAGTTAGTTTAGAATTATTTTAACAAGTAATCTTAATTTTTTTCAATTTAGTTCAAATAACTTTTTTTAGATGATTAGTTACATTTATTTGTTTTATTTCCTTGCGGATTTTCGAATATTTGTAATTTGATGTTTATCTTATTTCGCTTGTTTGCTCAATTCCAAGGGAAATGTTTTTAACTTTGTTGACTTCATGTCATCAAATATATTTGTTACAATTGTGCGAATCCCTTCATTCATTTTTGTTTTATTATTATTGTTAACCTTAAGTTAATTTTCCTAAAAAAACTGAATTTTACAACTCACACCTTTTAAGTCAAAACTTCGACACTAGGTCGTCGTATCTTCAAAATCTCTCCAACACCCATTTAACTAAACAAATAATTTTAACCAAAAACAGATATTTCAAAAGGTTCTTGCGGAGTACCGCAGATGCGTTGGGTGCTAATACCTTCCCATTGTATAACCAACCCCCGAACTCTCGATCTCTTTCAAAAACGCATTGTATTTTTATTACTTTTAAGTATTATTTTACATTGCATATTTTAGGGTTTTATTTCGCTCTTTTCCCTTTTCCCTTGGAAATAATAAAGCGCGGTGGCGACTCTTGCTTTTGTGAGTCAAGTTAATTAATAGCTTGATATCCGATTTTCACCGCTACAGAATTGGCGACTCTGCTGGGGAAAGATTGACCTCTTGCTGGTCCATCCCTAAGTGGGTTAAGCCTAATTTGTTTTATCTGTTTTATCATTATTTGATTGTTTGATTATATGTATATATTATGATTATTTGGGCGTTGATAATATTTACAAAGGACAAGTCCTATACCCGGACTAAGTTACACTTAGGAATAGGACGGGCGGTATAGTCATGTTAACTTTGAGGGAGTAATCCCGAAGAAGGAGGCATGAGATCCCCCACTCAGTGGAAGGCCCTTTTGAACGTAATATTTGTTTACCGAGTAATAGGGAAGACATTATTATTTTCGACCTGGGAGCCAGAGAAGCTGGGAACCGTAGAACCCTAACCCATCTTGGCCTTTTAGGTGTAGCGCGGAGATTATAACGGAGTAATCCGGAAGTAATTGTTACGCGATGCTATGCACGGATGAGTTTCTCTTGAGAATATTGCTGATTATTGAGTAATCAAAACGTTGGTAATATCTGAAGGAGGAAAGTAGACTCCGGGAACTCTTAGAACCTTGTTCTACAGGTGTGATTAAACCGTTAGTACATACCTTGGGGTTGGTCTTTACCTTTGACTCCATGCTCGTGACGTTGAACCTTTCGACTTTGTTTGTGACCTTGCTTGTGGTTGTTGCATAGCCATGCATTCATGCATCCATAAAACCCTTTTCACTTGACTTTAAAGGAATTTAGAGGACTTTCTTTGTAAACATCACAAGTTTCGTCAAACTCAATGGATCTTGGGTGTTGATAGGGCGAAGACCCTAATCCACCAAAATGGATGATTGATCTTGATGATAACTTGATCAATGTTTGGAGCCAATTTAAAATTCATCTTTTGTCTTCATACTTTGATGTTTACAACTTAATATCTTGAGTTCCTCGAAAATCAAATAAAAACTCTCTTTTGCATATCATACATCATTCTACATTTTTTGTTTCACCTTCAAAGGTCTTTTTCCGAGTCTTATTTTTCCTTTGGTCTCACCAGTACAACACTCGCGCTAAGAGAACAATGGAGAATATCAAGCAAGAGATTTTTGAACTCCGCAGAGAGGTGACTAATTTGAAAGCTGGTATGGATCACTCAATTGGTTTGGTTGAAATTCTGGTTGCCGCCCAAGTCAATCCTTCTAGGAGGGAGGAAGCGATGATAAAAGTCTTCACTGAAACTCTAAAATCATTCTCTCATGAGAAGGTGTTGGTTAATGCACCTAATGACTTTCCTGACAAGGTGAATATGGGAGTGCGTCTAGAAGAAGACGTCGGAAAGGGATGTTCATATGAAGATGGTAGCTCAGCTAATGGTGTGAAGAAGTTTGATAATAACTTTTCCAAGAAAAGAACCAGAGGAAAAAATAATCATCGTCGGAATCATCATGTTTCTCCTATTCATCAACAGAATCAGCAAGTTCCTAATCAAAGGAAAACCCAGTTTGATCCAATTCCAATTACCTATATAGAGTTGTTCCCTATCCTGATGCAGAGGAATTTGGTTCAGACCCGACCTCCACCGAAGGTTCCTGAGAAGATACATTGGTACTACAAAGCTGATTTGGCTTGTACCTTTCACCAAGGTGCTCCTGGGCATGACTTGGAGGGTTGCTTTGCTTTGAAGATCGAGGTTCAGAAGTTGGTCAGAAGTGGTATCTTGTCATTCAAGGACGTTGGTTTTGAAGTTCAAATCAAGCATGTGCCAAAGAGTAAACACGATTGATGGTCACTTTGAGTTTTGAAGGATGTTTTCGGTGATTCAAGTCCAGATGGAAAGCCTTCCCAGATTATTAACTTATTTCTGCTTTTTGTAATTTTTCTTGTTTATCAAAACATTGTTTACATGTAAGAACTTGTTTGCATCTGAATGATTATCTTAATACAATGAGTATGTTTGTCTTGAAGAAATTCATTCGTTTCACTCATATTTGTTTTCAAATTTTAAATTGCTTTTGCACTATGATACCAAATTGTTGCTCATTCTCTTGCCTAGGCAGAGATTGAGGGGAGGATGATGATCTAAAGAACACAAAATCTCTGGTTGTTTGCTTTTGGATAAAATCTTGCTGATGATGTACAGGCATTGTTTCAAACCCCTAAACACCAGAGATATAAGGAAGATAATCCCTTGCTAACCCCTTTTGAGCCTTTGAAGCAGAAGTTTCTTTTCTATACGAAAAAAAAACCCTCAACTTTTAACCTGGGGCAGGGTAGTTTTTAGTTAATCTGACTGAGTGTTCGAAATTCATAAGGAAGATGTTTTTTGAAGAGAAACTACGAGGGCTATCTTTCATGTATAATGAAGCCAGAAGATGTGGAATCACAATGTTATCCCTCATTCATCAAGAAACGAGGCAATCACAATCTTCTCAACAAGCAAATGCAAGCTAATGTCACACATTTTGTTCAAAAAGTCAAAAATCGAGAAAAAAAAAAGAAAAAGCCTGCTAAGTCAAAAAACATGAAAACGTGTGACTTAGGCAAAATTAAGGCATCCCGCTGGACTATCAATTCAAAAGAATTAGTTCAGGCAAAAGTTAGGGAAAATAAAAATTGCAAAGAAAAGGACTGCAAAGAAAAGTCCTCAGCAAAGAACAAATTGGTGACTACAAACACGAAGACATGAGGGTGGTTTCTACTCCGAAAACCTCGTCGTTTCCTTAACCGTCACAAAATCCTTTTGAGAGATGAACGCTCATGTTGAATTAACTGAACATAGGGTTGGAGAACATCATGAAGGGGGTGGGCACCAAATATTTTGAGCCTTAAATCTTTTTTTTCTAAAACCATGAACCAGACCACATTACAACCTTCAAAAGTCCTAATTGAAGCAAGGTTATTTTGAAAGCATACTTCAATGAAATAGTGTTCCTAACTCCCATGAATGTTTGTTAAATAGTTATGTTGGTATCATATGTTTTTCCTATACAAAAATAAACGGTGCTCTAACTCGCAAAATTTGTGCGATATCTTTTCAAAATCTTCAAGACTTACATAACTGTTGAATTAGAATTTTCATTCTCATAATAAACTTTTCTAACTGCAAAACACTTGTTTGATATCAAGGAAGCTCACATATAAGCAGCAATGATGAGTTTATACTTTTAAGGCTTGAAACTATGTTGAGTAATTGGCGAATCATTTCAAGAAAAAAATCATATGCAGGGGTATGTCACCTGAAGACCTTAAGCACGGACATGTTGCTTCTCCTAATTAATGCTTTCCCAACTTGTTTACTCTTTTGGGGCAAAATTTGAAGACTTTGTTGTGACAACTACAGTCAATCCGGGGCAATCACGTCGAGATTTGATGAATTCCTCTAAGAGTTTGAAGACACCAGAGCATGGTGAATGCCAGGTCTTTTGTAAAATCCTCTTGAGACGATTTCTCCTCATCAACCAGATAGCTTGGGGCATGTTAGAAGTGAAGCTATTCGCAAGAATCGTCGTGCAACATGCAGCTCATCAGCAGTAAACTTGGGGCATCCAAAATTGGTCCCAGGGGCAATCTAGATCTATCAAGATATGTGATATGTATTGCACACATTATCAGAGGGTGGTGTTCCCAGTATCTCCAGCTAAGCAAGACTTCTTTCCAGCTGAAACTTTGTTTGTGTTGTTATCCTTTCAATGGATTATTTGCAATAGAAGACTGGACTTTGGGTTTTCTACCTGAAAATATCTTCTTCTCCAGAGATATTTAAGCCTTGTAAAAGGACCTTGCTCCAATGATGGCCTGTGTTTTATCTCCAGTAATGTTCCCATCCTGTTGAGATTAATCGAGTGTTGGGTTGTGCTATGATGTCTTATCATCTCCAGTTTATCTTGTCTATTTGTTTTGTCAGCACATACATGGCATTCATTTATTCATTCACACTTGCATCATGCACGCACATTTGTATTTGTTGATATCTTTGAGTTCGTATACCTTGGTTATGTCTATTCAAATAGCATATTTGATCTTTCCAAATAGAGTGTCAACTTAAGCAGAAAGTGCGCCTCTTTTCTAATTCCCCACTGAGTTAACTCTCGTGGAAGAATATTGCTTTAGCTTTCCTTTTCCATCTCTGGATAGGATAAATCCCCATTTGAGTTGTTTCCTCATTGGGTGGAGTCTTGTTTGACTGTTTTCTCTCCAGTTTATTCCTGGATTGAGCTTTGTCTCTTGTGAATGATACCCTATGGATATCTCTAGGCTATGAAACCTAGATGGAGAGTGAATTTATTTTGCAACGTAAAGACTTGGTCTCCTCAAGAAGGATTTATTCATGGTTCCCCGTTGAAGATGAACTTTATTCCCCAGTAGTGTTATCACAACCTTCTTCTGGAATATCGACATGACAACAAGCGGCAGTCTCTTCATGAGCAACTCGTGTGTTATTGTTCCCTTGAAAACGGCAAGTGGCAGCTTCTTCATGAGCAGCTTGTACGTTAGTATTTTTGGAAGACAGCAAGTGGCAGCTTATCTATTTGAGCAACTTGTGTGTTATTGTTCCCTTGAAAACAGCAAGTGGCAGCTTCTTCCTGAGCAGCTTGTACGTTAGTATTTTTGGAAGACAGCAAGTGGCAGCTTATCTATTTGAGCAACTTGTGTGTTATTGTTATCTTTTAAAAACAGCAAGCGGCGGTCTCTTCATGAGCAACTTGTGTGTTATTGTTCTCTTGAAAAACAGCAAGCGGCGGTCTCTTCATGAGCAACTTGTGTGTTATTGTTATCTTTTAAAAAACAGCAAGCGGCGGTCTCTTCATGAGCAACTTGTATGTTATTGATACCTTAGAGAAAACAGCAAGCGGCAGCCTCTTCATGAGCAACTTGTATGTTATTGTCACCTTTGAAAACAGCAAGCGGCGGTCTCTTCATGGACAACTTGTATGTTATCAACACTTTTAAAAACAGCAAGTGGCAGTCTCTTCATGGACAACTTGTATGTTATCAACACTTTTTGAAAATGGCAAGTGGCAGCTTCTTCATGAGCAGCTTGTACGTTAGTATTTTTGGAAGACAACAAGTGGCAGCTTCTTTATGAGCAGCTTGTGGGTTATTGGCAACAAGTGGCAGACTCTTCATGAGCAGCTTGTGTGCTTTGATATTCTTTGAAGACAGCAAGTGGCAGCTCTTCATGAGCAGCTTGTATGTTATTGACACCTTTGAAAGGAAGCAAGTGGCGGCCTCTTTATTTGAGCAGCTTGTGTATCCCCAACAATAATGTCTACTCAGCAAATGGCACCCCTTCGGAAAAGTCCCGTGGGGAAGTTTGTTTATTTTATCCTTTTCAAGCGATATCTTGGTTAAAGAAGAAATGTGTTACCATTCTTGGTAAAATTCAGAAATCAGAGATGTTTATCTCCAGCCACAGTGCTGATGTCAATCATTTTGTTTTCCAGCCACAGTGCTGATGTCAATCATTTTGTTTTCCAGCCACAGTGTTGATGTCGATCATTTTCCAGTCTCAGTGCTGATGTAAATCATTTCTTTTTTTCAGTCTTCTTGCTGATGTAAATCATTTCTTTTTTTCAGTCTTCGTACCGATGTAAATCATTTCTTTTCCAGTCTCAATACTGATGTAAATCATTCAAGAGTCTCTCATTTGAAGTCTATGACTCTGTTTCCCCAGTGGTGTTATAATCTGTTCCCCTGTAGGATTACTGTATAATGTGCTTGGTTTCTCCAGCATAGTCTGTCTCGTATGGCGTCATTCCCCATGAAATTCAGAGCATTACATTCATATCATATCATGAACATAATCGCGGTATCTTAAGGCCAAAAATTGTGTATTCTATATTTAAGTCCCTTCAATCTCGTCGAAATGAAGATCCCAATCTTCATATCTCCAGATAGAAGAAACTTAAAAAGGGGCAGCTGTTGTACCCCAATTTTCGACCTAAGATCCCATTTTTATTTTTGCATTTTTAAGATAAGTCAAGGTCACGAAATACGGTCGGTTTTAACCCCTCACCTTCGAGCTTTGACTATGCGAAGATTGTCAAGTGTTTTGAACATTTTTAGCATATGTATCACTAATTTCTAATCGCGTACAAAGGTGTATGTTCATGTTTTCTTTTGTGTCATGTGCAGAGACAGGTCTGAATCAAGAGCATCAAGTGTCGCGCCTCAATTAAGGTTTTGATTCTCCCAAGCCAAAAGTACGGTTGATTATGGATTCTCGAAGACTGATTCATCAAGGCACAACTGTTGCACCCATTTTTCGCCCCTTCACTTTTTTCGACTGGTGCATATTTTGTCGTTAATTTGAAAAATCGATCATTTCGCATACTTTCTTGTTTTTATTCATCATTTTAATTTCTATTTAAAAAAAAAGAATTAAAATAGTTTATCATTTGCATTTTTTATCATATTTCCAATGAATTT